TAGATATTTCCTCTTCGTTTTTAAATGTTTAGCTCCTCTTCAAGCTACTTTCAATGAAAATACGCGATATAGATACAATAATATCTATTTTTACATATTTCTAGTTTTTCGATTTAAAAATATAAGTAAAAGCAACTTATTAATCAAATATATTTTATATTCATTTATAGCATCAGATAAAAAGAGATTGAATTGTGATAATTGTAAGTGTTTTCGTCATAAATCAGTAGTTAAGAAAAGATATGACAAAAATATGTCGGTTTCTGTAATCTAAATGCAGAAATCTTGAGTTACCGAGCGTTGCGCGTATTGCTAACTATCACCGCTCCTCATGCCCTGTTGCTCGTAAGATTGGACGATAAAACTTTATACTCTCCCTTTTCTTAGCCCCGAGAAATTTACGAGTGCAGTAGATTCGCCGCAGCTGGAATACTTCATGTCTTTGTTTAATGCTATATAACCCCGTGATGTATGACTACAATCTCAGTGCAACGACGATTCTCGTACTTTGCAATTATTTATAGGCGAATAGGCACAGCAAATTTGTTCACTTAACTTCTATTAGAAATTATGGAACAGAAAGGCCCGCATGATATGCATGTTGATATAATTTTAACATAATATATTGTTAAACTACGTTATTAAAATCGCGTGTTAAAATAAAATTCTATCTAACAGTGTCGTGAATACAAAGTATCGGTCGCTAGAATTATGTCGTTAAATCAGTATGATAGTGGTGACATGATCGAATATTATAGACGGGATATAAAATGACAATAAAGTTCGAATAGTGCTTGGGAAGTTCTTCGAACTGCCTGTTAATTACAGCAGAATCCAACCGATGATTCGGAGCCGTAATAATATTTATACGTAACTTATGTAATTTCCTCACATGTTGGAAATTACATCGTACTGACGAATTTGGCGCTTTAATAATTTCAATAGTTTTTGCTACTTTAACAGATTACAGTCTACACGCTATACGAAAAGCTCGTCTATAATTCATACGCGATTTCGCGAAAATCGTCAAACTACAAGTATATATGTGTGCTACAATATTTTATTTACCAATGGCTAAATTGGAAACAATATCGTTAATTGATTCTCATTTTAGCCAAGCGTTTATATGCAAAAATAACAGTGAAGAGAGAACGATAATTTTAATTAATTAACCTTATGTCTGTGAACTCAGATATTATATATACCATATTCATTCAATGATTCATTTAATACTCGGTAATCTGTCTACCTTTGTTTTAATGTCTGCATTAAAAACAAAAATCTTGTTTCATAGTATTGTTCTCATAAAGGTTAATTAATGTAAGCTGTAGTGCAAGCGAATCCCTTTCTAAACACAGAACAGAAACAAAAAATCAATGGAAGCTTTGTTATTTTATGAAAATGATGCACAATATGATATTCTATATTGCGCTATATAATATGTTGCTTTGCATAATATATTATACGTAAATCAACAACAAATATTATTGATCAACTGCAGGGCAAAACTCACGACGTGCATTTGCGCTCGAGTATTATCAGAAATATAAACTGCGAGAGCTTCCTATTGTCGATCTAATGCGATTGCCGCTCGAGTATGTCGGCGTTGTTAAAATATACGTTTCGCAAAAAGAAGACATCATCTATCCAGTATACTCATGGGAAACTTTTTCCGCATAATAAAATTCACGATACGCGCGCGAGGGAGAAAAAAAACATGGTCGTGCATAGCTTCGGCAGAAATATGCGAGTGGATAAAACTCAAGAACGCACTGTGACTGCCATATAACGGCGATTGCTGCTCTTCCTTTTTCAAATCTTTTTGCATACGCGAAACCGACTTCCAGAGTTAATATCACCTCGAGAAAGAGTGGCGCTTATTCTTATCCGCCAAAGGTGCAACTTTTTCACGTAACTTCATCGTTTTCGGTTTCTTCATATTCCTGCACTTCCATTAAAAGTCAGAGACTGTGCGTAATTTTGTCCGAACAATTCCATTGACGTTTCTCTCGCAACATTAATACATAATACGAACACATGTATCTACATATATTTAGGTAGCGAGATATTAATATGCAGTAATATAGCATTATCATTATCATCATAATGGAGTGTTAATTACTATGATTGAAGCTTTCATTATACTTCCCTATCACATGCATCTCTACAGATAAATGCATAATGTCAACGAAATGTATTAGACTGTACATACGTAGCCGCGGCTGACATAAACGCGAAGACCGACCTTTGCATAGAAATGAGATTCTGGGATTAAAACTGTGACCTCCCGACCGAATCTGCATGAAGACATAGTCTGACAAAGATCGTCCTTTTCTACTTAACCGCTACGCTAATCCCCGAGTAGTGCCGTGAACCGTTAATGCTAGAAATCGAGGACGCCCGGAGGTCCCAGAGTGGAAGATAAATTCCCCAAGGGCCGTGTCCGCCTTCGAGTTAATTTACCGACCTACTCGAAACACTGATTTAACCGTCGAGGTGAAAAAAATTATCTTACGGTCCGATACGAGCGGAACCGACTTAACTTAATCAACAATGAAAGTCTGAGTCGAAATTGAAATCTCGATGATCGCGATACCGCGATATAGCGGCGATAATTACCCTAACTGGAATAATAGACGTGGAATTTTTGTTCCTGGTTAATTTATAAGAGATCTCGCTATTTTCTCTCTTCCTGCTTTTTGATGTAAATATCGTTATTTGCGACATTCGTTATTTGCATCTCTAAATTCTTTGAGGTGGAATCTCATTTTAAAGAGTGAAAATTGAGCCAGTCCTGAAAAAGAATGACTCAATTTTCAATCTTTAAGAGTAAAATTTTATTCTTCAGAGTAAAATTTATTTAAAAAATTTTAGAGAATACACATTTTCGTTATGCGACTCATTGAGTAATCCCGCAACAAGAGACGTAGTTTCACGCGACATTTCGAAAATGTCGACGCCGCTTGTCTTGGTTCATCGCTCCCGAGTTTCGTGCATTATTCGGGCAAGCCTATCTCGCGTGTTTGTGGCTTGTCGGTGGTTCTTGTTCGCCTGCCAATATCCCGTGTCAAAATCTGAATTGCTACTTGTAAGGCTCAAGATTTGCTGGAAATACTGTAATTCTGTGACAAGCGAATCGGAAATTCTAACATAAAATGAAATTTATCGAATGAATTTCGCGACTATTGTACGCGATAAAATTTAATTTCATTTCTTTATGCCAGCCATTTATTCCCGTTTACAATATGAATACTAAAAATTTAAATACCTGCAAAAAAAAGATATTTTAAACTCACCGTTCTATTTCCGATGTTCTTCACTCTGCACGCTAGTTGAACAGTTTCTCCAGCCAAACCAGTGATGTTGGACGGCATTGTGGTGTCAAAGTATGGATCAATTTCCGCTGTTGTGCGTTCTTGAAAGGTATCCGTCATAAAAACATGCGATTCGTACGCGATGCTTCCTGGAAAAACTATTCCATACTTACAATTAATAAAGATATTCTCGCAAACGCATAGAAAAATCAATCGTATTTTGTATAAACATAGAAATTATCACATGATTCCAGTAGGTAAAACAATTGGTAACAATGTAAGAGTATATCGTATTTTTTATTGCATATTCAGCAATTACGAATAAAATTATAAAAAAATATTTCATCTAAATATTCCATTTAAATTCTTTTCATTGAAACCTTTTCACCCGTATCATGGATCATCATTTTGCGGAATATATGACCTGCTGAGCAATGGAAGAAAAAATTACTTTAAATTGAGCACTGCTCTGCAGTCAGTTCCAGGAGTGCGTGCATCCGACCGTTTATCTCGGTAATTTTAAATAGAGAAATACGACGATGGTACCATCAGTACGTCAGATCTATACGAACGGCCGCTTCGTGCAGGCAGCGAAGCTTCGAGAGTACATCGTCGAATAGGTCGTACGTATCCTGCCCCCTGCAGCAAATGCAATCTCGTCCGGAGGTATATCTCCCGTGTTCGCAGATCGTGAGAGCGTGATGTACCGTGGAGACTCATACGTGCGTGGCGGAAAAGCGAAGTCATGTCTATTTGCATAGAAGACGTGCAAGTGGACTTAGTGGCTTGCTGTGTCGTGTGATTACCATTCAAATCACGATTTTCCCCGGTGGAAATAGTTCGATGGTATTGCGAACTACTATTTGCACCGATCGAAACCGCCTGGATTTGCACCTTTTAAAGTGGATTTCAGCTGATTTCGTCTCGATAGACGATAAGAATCGTACTGGCATGTTCTTTCAACCCTGCCGGCTTTAAAATTCACGCCCGAGATTTCATCCTCTTACAATGCATGATATGTGAATTAATGAAACTGCCAATCCATTGCACTGACGTCGGCTGATGTTAACTTTTATTAATTTAATTTTCTTTTTTACTACAAATACAATTTTTTATCACAAGTACAATTACATTGCATTAAAATGTAGCGAGTTAATTGAGGATGTGTTATTACATAAAGTAACTTGTATTTAACTGGACTTTTATTTTTTTACTGTTACGTTAAACAAACTTGTAATATAAATGAGATGTTAAATTAATCCCCGTCGGCAATAAAATTTTCACTCTTCGTCTGCAATTTCTTTTCGACCTTCAGTGCAGATTTTTTATATTGTTCTAAACTGTATAAAAATTTAAAAAATTCCTATATATTTGTGAAAGTTTTAATAACAAATTTTTACTATAATTATAGAAATTGCATTATAAGTTTCAGAAGTTTTAGTCTTTTTTTTACGTTCTTCTCTCATAATTATGTTAAATTCAAATAATTAATCAAAATAAAATAAATTCAAAATATATTTCACATATTTGTAAGACTGATATCAGATTATTTGAAATGTTATATTTTATAATTTAATGATGCACATAATATTATAAAATATCGGTAAATATGATGAGCGACAAGAAATTTTATATTTGACATTACATTCAGTATGAATTCCAGTAAGAAAGAAAAATAAAAATATGTGAAACAATTTGCTCTATTGAGATATGAAAAGTGGTCTATTGAAAGAATCCCTTGAATCTGGGTGAATCTGTTAATGTCCATTATTATCAATTAAATAATTTGTTAAAAAAAAAATAGAAGAAAAATATTTACATTACGTGTAAATAAAAGAAAAATTAAAAAAGACCAAAATTTCTGCATACACCTAACCTAATATTTTATTTATTTTTTACAGATTTAAATTTATCTAAAAAATTCACAATAAAAAAAATTAATTGTGCGTTTATAAAGCCTTACATTGCTGGCGGAGGGTTAAGAACTATGTATTACTAAGGTATATTTTTACCCGATGAATTTAGTGGAAGGAACTGCAAGGAATGCAAGAGTTAAGAAGGTTTGCTTCCAAACCATTTATCGTTGCGCACGTCGCTATCCCATTACCGTGGTACGCTTTAAATATACCGTAGAAGCAGGCGTTTCTTGTTCGCGTGCTTGTTCGTGGCGGAACAATCTTTTTTCCTTGGCACAGCAACAGTTTAATCGGCGCGATGTCTCGTACTTTAATGCAATATACGTTGCCCGAAGCTGTTAAACCGTTAATAAACGATACGGTCGGTTGAAAGCACGGTCTTTCTCCTGTCGGCGCGAACACCACGCCCGACTTTGATAAAGTGATAACGATTCCACGGTCTGTATCCTTTAGGTCGTAGACCGGAGGGAGAGATAGAACGAGATGAGTTTTGCGAGATGAAAGGCCCAATTGAACAAGGGAGGCCGAACGGGGCACCCTCGCTTAAGCTATTTACTGTAATAAGCTTGCTGAACCCTCAAGAGAGAAAAGGTCCTATGAAACTCGCAAATTAACTCCTTCCATTCCTAAGTTGTCTGACAAGAGTCAGGGTTTAGCTAACTAGTTAAATTATTAGTATTTCTCTTGCCGTTTTGGGGTACTGCACAAGTATTTCACTTGTACATATATCTTTTCAAAGTAAAGAAGCTTTTTGATGCTCTTGTCAGTTATCAATCACTTTTTAAGCGACCCTTTAAACAAATTCTTCGATATGATGATTATATACTTTTGAATAATTTTATACTTTTTAAAATAGATAATCAGCTATCGAAAATCATTTTTGAACAGTAAATTTTTCTATGTGATGGTCATCTATATACTTTAGAAAATATGTAGATAATCGTAGTATATTATAATATTTAAATTTAACGTTAAAAGAAAAGTTAAAATTCCAGCAAGAGAAGCATCGAAATTATTATTTAGAAAACTGCATTCCCGTAAATCGCTATCATTGATCCACATCTTGCGCATTTCCGTGAAACGTGACTCTTCGCATTGCCAAATCCTTCGCGCCATTGCGACATAAGAAAATTTTGATCATACAGTTCGTTGGAAAGAGCTGAAGAGTACTGTCGAATGGAAACGCCGGCACTCAAGTATCTCGCCTTGAAAAGTTTAGAAACGTCGTTCGTCGTTATATATGTATATATCTATATCTTCAGCAGAAATGTCATCGGTAGGTGAACTGTCGCATGTCGCCTGGTGCGGCAAAAATCGCAGAAGAGATTTTCTAACCGGAAAAGTCGCGCGTAATCGGCGGAATAATATTCGTGCCGTTGTTCAAACAACCGGAACTGTTCCTGACTTTCCTGAGAGGGAGGGGTCGAATGAAGGAGAAAAATGGTCGAGTGAGAAAGTAAAAAGTGAAGTTGGGAAAGCCGACAGTGTTCTCATGTATGTATCTTCGAGAAGAGAAAGAAAAGGAGGAAGAAGGAAATTGTTGGAAGACATATGTCGCGAGAATTCTTGCGCGAGTCGATATGTGGTTGAAAATTTCGCGGAAATGGATGTATCGGTGCCGGGCTGCCGCGACGTTGACGGGGTCGACGGATGCGCGCGGTACTCTCGTTTCTCTCGGATTTTCGATGCATGCGGAATGCACTGGAGGCGAAACATTATTTACATCTTATGCGAATGTTGGCAACTCCGCGGATTGGAACCCCTCCGATGCGCTTTGGCTGTAACGTTTCGTGAGAAACTCCTGCCCTCAGAAAGAGAAGTCACGACTCACTGCCGAATGTGGAGAACGTTCTCTACCTCCATGAGATGGTGGTTCTCGCCGTGAAACATATTGGCGCGTCTTCGTTATTCGAGCGAGGCAAGTTATATCTGGCCGAAACTAAATTTACTGATACGTTAAAGTTGCGAAATTTAAATTACATGTATAAATACATGTATAAATTGTATATGTATAACATGCTAACATAAACCATGTGTTGCAATCACTGCATTCCAGCCGCAATAATCAAGCCGAGATGAAAAGACGCCACATTTAATATTATAATTTAATGGAATAATTTTCATATTGCAAAGCGGAATTTTGCTGTAGTAAACTACTTCCGCTTTCTATGCATTATCTAAAATTTAAAGTAATATTTTCCAAAAAGGAAAATAGCTCCCTTTGCAATATTCTCATAATAGCTAACAGCGCTGGTCTGAAATAATATTCGCCCCGTCTTTAAAGCATGCTCGGCACGTTCGACTGGAAGATGTAGTAAGGTAAAAAATTGAGAGGTATAACAAAGAGAAGTAAAGGAAATATACAATATAATATATTATAGAACCTTATATGTGATAATACAAACTATAGAAATCAAAGCCTTAAACGATCTAACTGGATCTTAATGCTTGTACGATTTTTATCGTAAATTCATATACTACGTATGTAATCCCCAGAAAAACGAGCGCCGAAATAATTGTTTGGTCTTGAAACGCTAACTCTACTAAAATACCGTAGTAATATCACGAGATAAATTGAGTAGCAATTTAACAAATTTTTGATGCTTATTCGCATCTTTGAAACGATCTTAATTATGTTGAATGACATATTAAAATCGGTAAATAATTAATTCTTATTGCAAAAAATATTACCTCGGCCGGAAATCGAACCCGGATCTCTTGCATTCCTTCGTGCGAGTGTCCTAAGCCTTTAGACTACCAGGGTCTTAGTAATAAAAAAGAAATATAGGCGTAAATAAGATGAAATATTTACTAATTACATATTTTTACTTACAGCTGAATCTAGGATCTGTTTTTAATGCCTTATTTGTACCAGGCATACTTTTTTTTTTTATCCAATATATTGTATTATAAACAGTTGGTGGTTTGATAATCAACGTTAATTATAACAATTTAATTAAACATAAAATTATTTATAAATATAAAATAACATATAAAAATTTAATAATTAAATTTTATAAATTTTAATTTCACTATTAGAAAATTTTTAATGTGCCATTTAAATTCTTGGTGAATAATTTTTGATATTAAATATGGCACAAAAGATTTCGCAAAAAGATATCTCTCATACGTGCTTTGTCTTGAAAAAGAGTCTACCCTCGGAGGAAGTCGTAAGACGACTGGAAAGATCTCGTGGGAATAATATCCACCCCTCGTTGTTCAAACAACTAGAATGAGAGGTT